AGTATGGAAAACAAAAATGTGAGCACCATTTATTCATTGGAAAGGCTTATTTTTAAAAGCCCTCTACAAATAGTCCAGATGAGGAAACATCCATTCAGAAGGCTGATGAAACATTTATGATTCATCAGCCTTCTTCCTTTTTCTCTTTTTTTGTCTAATCACTTAGTAACACTATCATGTTTGTTTTTTTAAGCTCGTCGCCTTCCTTCTGTTCCTTTTTAGCTCATGCAAGTGATTTCAGTCATTCAGGACAAAACAGCTAAATAAACGTGTTGCTGTTTGGCAATAAAGTCTCCAATTATTAATTGTACGTTGGGTTTTTGTCTCTTCACACATACCTGCTTTGTCAAAGTTGGTTTCAGAGAAACTCTTGAGTCGTGTCACCAGTTCAGGGATGCGAGTGCGGAATGTCATCACGATGTCCAGTTTACCCTGCAGCTCCTTGTCTTCGGTTTGATCGACGTATTTACGAAAGGCTTCGAAGGGGCTGTCTTCACTCTTCAAAAACGACCGAACGAGGGGATCTTTGATTTCTGCGGGGCAGAGCAGATTTCATTTAAACCGTAATAACAAACCCCAGATGGTTGCACGTCCTGAGTCTGGTTCTGCTGGAGTTAAAACAGTCATTCCTTCCCACTGTCACCATTGTGTTGCTTAGAAAGGGAGATTGCACCAAAAGGAAAATTCAACAAAAAACCTGCTGTTTCCTTATATAAATAACTTTCCCAATTAGCATATTATAGTGTATTTGTATGTGAATGTAGTGCATTCTCATTGGATTGAACTGGCTGTAATTAAATAAGTTTTAAAATAAATTCGGACTTACTATTTTTGCTTTACAGACATGCTTATTGTTGTGAACTAGAACTATATAGTCAACTGAAATAAAACCATATTTACTTCTTTACTAATTAGTGTTTTTTTTAATAAATGCCACCTAAAAAGGAGGAATTATTAAGGTGTTTTTAGTTCTCTGGCTCCCCCTATGGTGAGATATGTAACAGCACAATAATACCTACAACACTTTTCTTCTCTCAAAAAGTATCAAAAAAGTTTTATTTAAAAAAAATTGTAACTTTTTATGAATCTACTTTGTGAAACAAACACAGGTTTGTTGAAAGCTGAAATGCATGAACTTTCACATTAAACAGACATTTGACATCAGTGGAGCTACAAACTATGACATTTATCTGTAGTGTGTGAACAAATCTTACTTTGCGAACTGACATCTTTTCCATTTGAAGTCATCAGGCTGTAGATGTCCATGATCTTATCAAGCCCAATGTTATTGACRCCCTGCAGGGAAAWGTACAAAATTACCATCATTTAATAATAAACTGAATTAATCTTCAGCCACCCCGCCCCTATGAAAAAACTATATTTTTAAACAATAAAAAGTAGCAAARTGAACRCGCRCAGTGTTCAACACATCAACTACAAACCTAGCTTTAGACACRGGTGAGGACTTCTGAATATGGTTGAACTGGATTTTAGTTGGGAGAGTTAARGAGGCTGAATACAAATACATGTCACACTTTTASATTTTTATTTGTTGAAAGAACTTGAAAGACATCTGATTTTCTTTCTACTTCACAATTAYKTGCTACTTTGTGTTRGTCTATCACAGTCCCAATCCTATTAAAAYACTTTAAAGTCTGTGGTAGGAATAGTACAAAATGTGTGTTTGGGGTATGAAGGCTTTTCCAATAGGAGAATGAAGGAACACACTCACTCCGATGAAGTGGATGCTGCACTTCAGGTTAGTGTCTGTGAGCTGGACCGCCGCTTTGAAGACGCCGAGGTTGCATCTGGAAAGGATGCCGATCTTCCCTGGGGTTTGACTCACTCCCGTCCTCATCGCCTCCAGAGCTTTGTTGGCCATCTCATCACACACACCACCTACAGTTTTCACAGTAAAGCCAGCCAACGTTGCTCACAAAATGCCACAACTTCTGTATTTTACCAAAGGTTGCGACCAAAAGATCAAGATCTTAGATTCAAGCAGTGGAAATTAGATTCCTGCTCAGGGAATCTGGACTCACCTTTAGAGATAGGAGATTAAAAATCATTTCGACTTCTCCGATGCAGAAAGAAAACTACCTACAGAACTCACCCTTCTGTTTTCCTCCAACAAGAATCTTCTCAACTCCCTTGCAAACCCTGAGGATGGTGGCGCCCACATAAGCGATTTCCGCGCCAAATCGAAAGCTCTGGATAAAAACATTAATGGAAGTAAGGTTCTATTTACTAATCAGCAAACGAAGCACCTAAGTACGACACCTTTTGAAAGACTGACAGTTATTAGCATTGCACAAAAAAGCCAAGTTTAAAGAAAACGACAGCAAAGGAAAGCCCTAATGTTTACGACATGAACATTACATTATCCAGCATGTAAATGGATGAAATGCGTTCAGCATCCAATTTAGTACCTCCTATAAAAGGACTCTTTTATTGTGACTGATTGTGTTTACCTGTGTCAGGTAGAAAACGTGAGTGTGGTTGTCAGTTCTTAAAGCATTGACAGCTCCTTTGAAGGTGTAGATCTGCTGGTGAGGGTCTCCGACCAGGATTTTCCCACAACTCTGGGACAGCAGCACATCCATGATGGCTGGGACAGAAGAACATATAGATATTTTTTTCTTTAAAC